GTGTGTGTGTGTGTGTGTGTGTGTGTGTGTGTGTGTGTGTGTGTGTGTGTCCAGGTGTCTGACCACGGCGTGCTGGTGATGGAGCTGAACAGCGGCCTCAGTTTTCCAGCCTCGGAGCATCTGAGTCACATCATTCACACTCAGGCCCTGCAGGGTAGGTTGCTCTTAAGATGAAATCAGAATGAAATCAGAGGAGGATGTTTTGCTCTTAAGATGAAATCAGGGCAGTTGCTCTTAAGATGAAATCAGAATGAAATCAGGGCGGGATGCGTTGCTATAAAGATGAAATCAGAGGATGATGTTTTGCTCTTAAAATGAAATCAAAATTAAATCAGGGCAGTTGCTCTTAAGGTGAAATCCGAATGAAATCAGGGTAAAACAGGTTGCTCTTAAGATGAGATCAGGGTAGAATAGGAAGCTCTTAAGATGAAATCAGAATGAAATCAGGGCGGGACGTGTTGTTCTGAAAATGAAATCAGAATTAAATCAGGGTAGAACAGGTTGCTCTTAAGATGAAATCAGGGCAGTTGCTCTTAAAATGAAATCAGAATGAAATCAGGGTAGAACAGGTTGCTCTTAAGATTAAATCAGAATGAAATCAGGGCAGGATGTGTTGCTCTTAAAATGAAATCAGAATTATATCAGAGGAGGATGTTTTGCTCTTAAGATGAAATCAGAATTAAATCAGGGCAGGATGTGTTGCTCTTAAATTGAAATCAGGGCAGTTGCTCTTTAGATGAAATCAGAATGAAATCAGGGCAGGATGTGTTGCTCTTAAGATTAAATCAGAGGATGACTTGTTGATCTTAAGATGAAATCAGAGGATGACGTGTTGCTCGTAAGATGAAATCAGGGCAGCACGTGTTTTTCATAAGATAAAAACAGAATGAAATCGGGGTGGACGTGTTGCTCTTAAGGTGAAGTGTCCTTGCCCACTGACCGCCCCCCCCCCCAGCGTCCCCCCCCCGCTCGGTGGTGCTGGACTGCCGCCATGTGAGCGTCCTGGACTACAGCCTGGTCGGCGCGCTGCGGGACCTGCTGAGGCAGTTCAGGCTGAGGAAAGTCTGGCTGGCGTTCTGCGGGTGTCAGGTGCGCCCCCCAGTCCCGAACGCTCCCGTTAACAAAGTGTTTTTCAACCTGTTTTGAGCCAAGGTACATTTTTTCATAGAAGAAATCTCGAGGCACACCACCAACCAAAAATGTTAAACAAATCTGTAGCCGCCTATAGTAACACTATAGTTATACTTGTTTTATTCTTATCATATCTTAAGTGTCTTGAATAGGAATCACATAAACACAAAAATGTATTTTTAGCATATTTTATATTTCTTCTTTCAAATTGCACTGAACATGTCCACTTCAATATACAAAATTATATACAAAATCTAGTCATAAGGAATTATTACATGATTACTCCACCAGTCACTAGCACAGCACAGACACTCAAAAATAGCATATTATTTGCAGAAAATTAATTCCTTATCAAAAAATCTTTTTAGACTTAGACTTAGACTTCCTTTATTTTCATTGTCAAAAACACGAGGTGAATTTGACAACGAAATGTCAATTTCTTGGCTACCAGAGTAAAATCTTTAGCAACGAAACATCAATAAATATGTGTGTGTGTATGGGGGGGGTTATGTGGCGTTAAGTAGTCTGATGGCCAGGGGGAAGAAACTATTTCGTAGACCAATTAGGTGCAATAGGATGAATTTCTACGGCACACCTGACCATCACTCGCGGCACACTAGCGTACCGAGGCACAGTGGTTGAAAAACACTGCGTTAACCGACCACCAGGGGGCCGGATCATGATCCTCCATCTTTCTCTCCCTCCTCCAGCCGGCTGTTCTCAGAGTGCTGGCTGCAGCCGATCTGCAGGGCCTCCGGCTCACCGACAGCCTGGAGGAGGCTCTGCAGCTGGACTCAGAAATCCCCCCCGACGGCTGAACGCAGAGCTGTGGATTCCCGGCCTGGATGGGAGGGTCCCGGTTCGGCCTTTGAGGCTATAAACTGCCTTCAGCGGTTGGTTTCTGGCGGAGGTTAAGTCCACGTGTCTCCTGAGGAAACACCAAACTGAGCTGAACATTATCCCTCCCAAACAATACTCGGCCTTTCCATGGCCAGGATTGACCAAAGGATTTGTTTTGTGTAGTGTTTTCTATTTTTAAAAAGTATCGTGTTTACTTTGGCTAACAAAGCGTGTTTTTTTATTTATCTAGAATTTAGCTAAATATAGTTTAAGAGCAGAGGGACCTTCACTGTAATTCATCTTTACATTCCTTTTCTTATGGCCACCTTCTCTGGGACTCAAAGAAGTATTAATGTTTCCATTTTTTTCTATGACTGCATAACTGGGTTAGTTTTCACCGTTGTAAAAAGCTCCATATTTATCTTTTACAGCATAGCTTTGCTATGTTTCTATCTACTAAGAAGACAGAGAAACTAAGAAGTTTTTTAGTCATGATTCCAGGTTTATGTTCAGAAATATTATTCACCAATGAGCCGTGACATTGAATAACTACATTTCTCTTTAGTGTGATTTATAAAACACTAAATCACAACAACTGCCTTTTTACAGCACCCCACTGTGAAGTGTTAAGGTGGTTTGAACAAGTTCAATATGAAAGAGGTCAAAACACCTAAAAGTAGTTGATTCGGATCAAAGAGTAACCAGATCATGGAAATTATTTAATCTCAGAGACTAAGTTTCTGTTTCGGTATTTGTCAGCTCTTCAAAGCAGAGTCCAAATTCAGCCGCGAACTTACTGGCATTACATGTTGTAAAAATGACAAAACCCATTCAATACTGCAGTTAATAATTTACATTTGAATATGAAAAGGACAATGGAAACGTTGTGTTTGAGATATGCCGCCTTGATCAGTGACAAGCAACTGATATGCCACAATAATGTCAAAACCATAAATCTTACACAGAGGGGGAAAAGGTCAGATACTCTTGTTTTCTGGGTCCTTTAACCCAGCTCGCTCCAGAAAGCGGATGGATGAGATCAAATGAAACATTTTGTTTTGAATAAAAATAAATAAGGATAATCTGTGGAGAAACACGGCATGAAATCTATGTGTTAAAGCACAGAGGTGGTAGTATCATGACCTGAGCCTGCTTTGCTGTTCTGAGGTTAAATGGATCATGATGGAACCGTGTATTTTTTATTTTTGTTTGAACTAAAATACTATTAGAGAGCCATGAAGCAACACTAACGGTGTTCGACCTAAGAAAGGTTCAACGTTTTTTTCTTATGTAAAATAAAACTAAGAGACACACGAGAGCAAATCCTCCTATAACACAGAGTTAAAGCCTGAATGATTATCAAATACTATGGTGTTGTGAATGTCCCTTAGCTCCTCTATATTTCTAAAGCCTGGAACATTACCCCAAGTAAAATAAACTTGATATGAACTGAGCCTCTGGTGTGACATCTGTTTTATATTCAACATGGGGGATAAATCATAGGATTGAAGATTTCATGCAGAACTACATACACGTTTCTTGCCATTATATTTATTTCTGTAGTTTAATTTATGAACATCAGATCTCTTTCTTGATTTGAATAAAAATCAGAGATGTGGATCCTGACCATATAAGTTGACTTATTTTATTTTCCATCAGCTCATTACCATATATTGAATACTTTGTACTACTTTTCTTCATTAATATCAAATTTGTTGATTTTTATAAAAGTCTCGCACCAATTTCAGACTCGCCCTTCTTTCCTGAGCTCAGGTTACTAAAAACTAAATGTTGACTGACACAGCAGGTATTTACTGTTGCTAACAAGTTACACAATTGTTTCTTGCACCACAAGTTTTATAGTTTTACAACTTTAAACATTTATCAGTAACTTTGTAACCCCTTTTTCTTTTTTATTATTGAGTAATCGTTAACCTATGATTAATTGAACTGCTCGTGAACCATTTACACATCTCGCTTTGGACTGCCCTTTACACACAGAAACGGGCTTATAAATTCCCCCCCTATAGTCTGCCGTGAGCTTTTAGGAGTGTTACCCATCAGCTAAATATCGACTTCATGAAGCAGAAGACATCAGTCTTTTAAGGCATTGCATTTTTTTTGTACCGATAGATTTCTGTTTCAGATTCGGGCCATAATGGTGCGTCAGGGGCTACTTTTTCTGCTCCTTTTGCACATTTTCACTGGAAGCGCATCAGGTGAGCCATCTCTTTTTTTAAAGTTCAGTGAGAAATAAGAACATAAAATACAGATTTAACCACTGGAATAGGCTCCAGTTCTCCCTATTAGGGAGTAAGTGGGATAGATAGATAGATAGATAGATAGATAGATAGATAGATAGATAGATAGATAGATAGATAGATAGATAGATAGATAGATAGATAGATAGATAGATAGATAGATTTAACCACTGGGATATGCTCCAGTTCTCCCCATAAGGGAATAAGTGGTAACGATGATGGATGGATGGATGGATGGATGGATGGATGGATGGATGGATGTACAGATTTAACCACTGGGATAGACTCCAGTTCTCCCCATTAGGGAGTAGGTGGTAACGATAGATAGATAGATAGATTTAACTACTGGGATAGGCTCCAGTTCTCCCCATAAGGAAATAAGCGGTAACGATAATGGATGGATGGATGGATGGATGGATGGATGTACAGATTTAATATCAAACTCCTGTCCACCAATCTCTCTCCCCCCCATTCCCAGGGGCAGACGTTACCAGTTGTGATGGGTGAGTGGTAACGATAACGGATGGATGGATGGATGGATGGATGGATGGATGGATGGATGGATGGATGTACAGATTTAACCTCTGGGATAGGCTCCAGTTCTCCCCATTAAGGAGTAAGTGGTATAGATAGATTTAACCACTGGAATAGGCTCCAGTTCTCCCTACTGGGGAGTAAGTGGTAACGATAGATAGATAGATAGATAGATAGATAGATAGATAGATAGATAGATAGATAGATAGATAGATAGATAGATAGATAGATAGATAGATAGATTTAACTACTGGGACAGGCTCCAGTTCTCCCTTTTAGGGAGTAAGTGGTAACGATGATGGATGGATGGATGGATGGATGGATGGATGGATGGATGTACAGATTTAACCACTGGGATAGGCTCCAGTTCTCCCTAATGGGGAACAAGTGGTATTGATAATGGATGGATGGATGGATGGATAGATGGATGGATGGATGGATGGATGGATGGATGGATGGATGGATGGATGGATGGATGGATGGATTGATGGATGGATGGATGTACAGATTTAACCACTGGGATATGCTCCAGTTCTCCCCATAAGGGAATAAGCGGTAACGATAATGGATGGATGGGTTGATGTACAGATTTAATATCAGTGTCCACCAATCTCTCTCCCCCCCGTTCCCAGGGGCAGACGTTACCAGTTGTGACGGGTGAGTGGTAACGATAATGGATGGATGGATGGATGTACAGATTTAACCACTGGGATAGACTCCAGTTCTCCCCATTAGGGAGTAAGTGGTAACGAAGATAGATAGATAGATAGATAGATAGATAGATAGATAGATAGATAGATAGATAGATAGA